TAAGATCTCAGTATCGTAGAAACTCTAAAGAGTTCCGTAACATTCTCTAGACAGAAGATCGTTGTACATACGGACCACAGAATCTTACATGTAAGAACTTAATACCGATGCGTAATGCGATGGCGCCTATTCTGGAAGAATACGGCCTTAACTACGGTACATCAAGGCAACAGAACATCGTCGATGAGCGTTGTCGAGACTTAACATCTCAACAACGACGGTTCTTCAGAACAGATGAGCGCCAGCGGAATCGCTGAGCTCATGGCTCAGACAAAGAGGACTTCCCTAGCGAGTTCCCTCTTCGTTCCCCGATGAAATCGTCAGAAAGACGACAACGATATAAGAAACTCCTCAGGGACAAGCAAAACGACTACAAGAAGCAATCTTCCCCAGAGGGGATAAGTCTTACACTTAGTAGTTAAGGACGATAAGATCGTCGTACCTAAAACTATCAGAAGAAGCTAGTTGAATGGTACCATGGTGTGCTGATGCATCTGGCGAGACTCGCACGAACACCATCAGCCAACACTACACCTGGAAAGGACTGCGCAACTGTGCAGGCCGTATGTCAGCGTTGCCAAAGCTGCCAGATGAAAAACCCAAGACGCGTAAGCTGGGATTGATGCCTCCAAAGCTTGCGAGGAGATCCCTTGGGAAAGACTATGTATTGACTGATAGGTCCTTACAACGTCGGGATCCTAAGAAAAAGAATTCCTCACTTCATTGCTTGACAATGATTGATCCCGTAACCGGATGGTTCGGATTGCAGAGATCTGTCAAGGCAGCAGACGAAGTAGCCATCGTCCTAGAACAAACGTGGCTTACTCGGTATCCATGGCCTGCTGAGGTTTCATGGATAGAGGACGTGAGTTCCGCGCAAGGTCGAAAAGACTCTCCGGGATGAATTGACTTCGTCGCAAGTTCATCACTACGCGTAACCCTCAAGCCAACTCTATGGTCGAGTGCTCATCAAACCATACGTACTTGATCCTGTTCAAAACAATCAAGTGCCAAGACGACCTCGTGAATGATCCTGGGATGGAGTCCTCAGGCGGTTCGCTTTGCAATGAATGCACGATTCATACCACCTTGCGCGCAACGCCCGCACGCTCGTGTTCAATCGTGACGATTCACAACTCCTTTCAGAAGCCAACTGGAATACATAAGGAACGTCGCCAACGACTAATCCAACAAACAACGATAGGGAAAAGCAACGCGTGTCCCTCATCAATACATGTCAACGATACCGTGTGATTCAACAGTATCAGCACGCAAGTACGGTCAGCCAAAGTACAAAGGTCCTTACACTATAGACGAGTCAATGACAATGGCACTGTACGGCTCCAACATGCTACCGCCAACGGCGGCACAGTCTACCAGACTTGGAACATAAGGTATATACACCATACAAGGCCTGATCCCTTGTAGGATTGCCATCGTGCGACGCACATGTCTACATCCAAATCTCATGAGAGTGCCCCGCACTTTAAATCATATGTTCTCCTTTCCAACTGTGTCGCGCCTTCTATGACCCTTGTCAGGGGGGAATGCAATACACGGCTCTTAGCCTTATTCGCGACTCGATCCTAGATGGGTTTTGAGTTCGACTCATGACTGTCTCTCGTGAATAGTCATTTGAGACAGGGTTCTCATGACCGCTCTGGTCATACTAGTTGATGATGAAACACCGCTCTAGATATTTAGCCAGCGTGGAGTACTTCCACGCTATAGATATGCTAGACGAATCTTCCACGCGTTCGTTTTAGGATCGTGGAGATACGTAGGATTACTACCGCAACCTACTCTATCACACTTTATAGTCTCCCGCGGGAAGCCAGATCTATGATCCCTTGATGATGATATCTCTCGTTGATTAGTTTTCATAGCTTTCTAATCTCTCTCATAACTTTCATTCTCTCAAACTCAAAACACTCGAAAGATCTTTACACTAGCTTTTAGCGTAGTGCACTTGGCCATCATTTTTTTGGTGGGTCATTTGAACACAATACCAGCTTTTGTTTGGTCGAAGCAGGTGGTGAGATCAGTGCCTCAAACAGTGATGACCACTTCATGGTGTTTGCCTGGGGGGCTAGCAAGAAGGTGCCGGCTGCAGAGCTTCAAGGTTTGATTGCAGATGCAGCTGTACCTTTAGTGAGAAATGGTCGTATATTTGCATCAGTGCCCCCCGGTCTTTTACATGGTCCCCCAGCACCAGCAGGCTTACGTCGTGCCATACAGGTACCTGGTTAATAAGTAAAAAAGAAACCCGTTTTATACTAAAATCTGAAACTCCAATTAAACCGGTATTGGATGGGACAACTGGTGATATAGTACACTCTGTTCACTATAAAATTTCATACTAATAAAATTAAAGTAGAGGAAATTATTATTGGTGGGACATCACACATTTACACTCACAACCAAAGTAAGTCAAGGGAACAATAAATCAATTGCAGGTCGTAATCACAAGTACCAGCAGCCAGCCTGTTTTAGCTCGACCAGCCAAAATACTCCGAGTAGACCAAGCACTCCTAATTCCTTCACCACATGAGCTTCAATTCAGGGGTTATTATTTGCAGCAGCTGCCTGCCCTCCCTGTTCAACCGGTGCATTAACAACTTGATTGGCCATAACCAAATCAGTTGGAAAGCCCAAAGCACTTACAGCCTCAAAAGGAATATGACCTTCCGTGAAAAACAAGGAAGCTGCTTCAACATTGTTGGGATACCAGGTGCTATCCACATTATCAAAGAGACCTCCAATGAGTCGAACTATCTCATTGTACTGCAAGACATGGTCAATCTTGCGCTACACGAAACAGAGACACAGATTAGTGCACACAAAACAACACAACAAAACAAAAGCTCTCTATCTGAATACACTGGCCAAGCACTTACCAAAGGAAGAGGCTCAGGGGGGGTCAAGTTCCAGCCAGGCTCCCTGATGAAAACTCGAGTACCAAAGCGATTGTTCTCTGGCTTTTGGAGCCAGCGCTGGACTGCCTGCAAGATGGAAAGTAGATTCTCCTCAGTCGCTTCTTCTTCAGAGTCAAGAACACCAACAATTACTTTGCGCTGGAATGAGTTACGGGCATTGAGGAGAGGAGCAGGGTTTTCAAGGGAGATGCGCATCCGAAATCCATCAATCAAGCCAAGATCATCAATTCCAGAGTCATCACCAGGAGGGCCATTTCCGATGATTTGTTCAATCAAACCCTGCATGAAAGCATCCTGGCGCCTATCACTTTGAGTGACGCGAATGGTGATCAGGTTGCCCTCATGAAACTCAAGGGCAAGGTACCATCCAGCTGGATCTTTGACGCACTTGATTTCAGTTTTGGCCTTCCTGTTTTTCAATGGAGTTCCACGGCCTTTGTTGGGTTTTCCTCCACCAGCACCTGCTTTGGTGGGGCTAGAGGCACTGGTGCCTTTCTGGTGATTTGGTTGTCCTTACCATCTTGGCTTGAATTGTGAGAAAAGTATTTTGAGTTAGCTCGAGCTTGGCCGTTTCCAACAACAACAGCAAAGGGAGGACAACCAGCAGGGATGGATCGCTACCAGTATGTATACAAAATTCAATCAGGACCATCTACACATCCAAGAACAATTAGAAGAAATTGAATCACCACCATCTGCCCCTCCCACAACAATTAGCTGAAAGCAGGAACTGAAATCAACTCACAGGTTTGATTGATGCAGCATCTTGAATGGTTTATCTAATTGAAGCACCTAGCATCTTGAATGTTGTGTCCAATTGACTCATCCTCATCTAATGAACCCATGAAGTATCCCCACCAGTTGCTTGCAATTGGCAAGAACCGTAGCCAGTTGGCAAGAACCGTAGCCAGTTGGCAAGAATCATGGCAACCCCACCATTTGACAGAGCAACCCCATGAGCCACTCGCTCTGGATTTGTTCTTACTAAAAGATAACTAGCTGAGCTAAGTTGGTTTGATGGGTTAGCTAATGACATTTGAGACGTGGAAACTTTCTAACCTAGCTAGTGGCTACAGTGGTTAACCAGTCACACTTCGTTCACTGGTTCTGGATGGGAAACAGCCAATAATGCATACAGGATGAATTGCGGCAAAGCATATGACGATTGTCCAACGGCCTCATAAAAGCAAAAATGTCTGAGATTACAAAGGAGCTCAACCAAGCCATTGACTCTGTGCTTCACTTTGATGAAGTCACGAAAACAGCAAGTGGAAAAGTATGTGTCATCTGTGATAGACTACTTAAGAGAAAGGAAACCAGGAAAATCGGGCTTACAACTTTTCTAAAGAAAACCAAGTTCTTCAAAGGAGACAACAGCTTGCCTCCCAGTCTTCGAGCCGGCTACAGATTTACAGTGCCCAATAATGCCGAAGCAAATGCAACACTGTCCGGCTGTCTCTTATCACCAAGAAGCAAAGTTGTGTTTGGTGGGAAAACTGCCAACAGGAGGCGCTCCCCCCATGTCCTCTGCTGCAAAGATTGTGGACCTGGTCTCACGAACAAGAAGCTGCAGAGTGGAGAGCTCCCAAGATTTGCCATTGCCAATGGAATGGCAATTGGAACTGCACCTCCATGTTTGAAAAGACTCAATGAGATTGAACTTGCTTTGTTGTCGCAGGCAAGATTCAGAGGCCACCTGTTTGCTGTTTGGGGTGGATCGCATCGAAGCATCAAAGGATGGCACAGCTTCTATGAAGTGGATCCAGCTCACACCACATCAGTGTTGCAGGCAGTAAAACAATTCACTGATTCAAACAACATTGCTGTGGTTCTCTCTGGCCCATTCACTCCAGAGCAGAGAGAAAGGGTGCTGAAAAAAATGCACGTAAATGTGGAATGGGTAACAGAAGCATTCCACTGGCTCAAGGAGAACAATCGACTCTACCATGACTTGGAGCTTCCAACCATTGCAAATCCAACAGTAATTGATAACTCTTACAATGTGGAGTCAGAAAATTCAGACATTGAAATCAAAGAGGAAATGAAGGTTATCTTTCCAGACGCCACAATTCGAACTGCTGGGTGCGCTGATGCCTCTGAATTCGATAGGGCCATAGCTGAGATCAGGTCAAAATGTGCTGGAGCTCTACCGTACTTGACATCAAGACCTTCTTCCAAGTTGCTCAGAGATTATGAGGATGAAAATTTGATGCGTGCCTTCCCTTTGCAATTTCCCTATGGATTTAGCTTTCACGACGACTTTAATATCAAGGCATCTCAGAATGGGTACCTGAGCCATCTGATATCCTTGTCTATTCCATCAATGCATGAAGCATGTTTTGTGTTAGTGGTCCACAACATGTTCGAGCGATGCAAGGCCCTGAACGGTGCATTGCGGCAGGTAATGGGTGGCAGAGAAAAATGTGATGTCAGTGAAGAGGATCTCAATGCAGCCATTGCCTGTAAATTGAATGGACTTCCAGTTGTAAATGGTCCAGGCAGCCGTTTTTTGGATTCTGTCCATTCCGTGAAAAAACAAATGGCACACACAAATGGTGCAGCTGCAGCTGCTCAGTCGAAATTTTTAACTTTAACACATCATTATGGCTGCCCAAAAGTTCTTTTCACTGTGTCCTTCGACGATTCATTGGACATAAGGATTTTGGTTTGGTCCGAAGAGGAAGACAGTCTCAACTGGATTGCTTCAATGGACAGTATGTCACCAGAGGAAGTGGCAATAGAAATGGACAAATGCAATGCCATTCGCTATAAATATCCAGGCTTATGTGCTTGGAACTTTGAAGAGCTTATGGACGTTGTGCTGGAAAGCATTGTTGGAGATAATGCCTTGAAATTGGGTGTATTTGGAACCCTCCTGGCCTATGGACTTGCAGTTGAAGAACAAGGACGCAATACACTGCATGGACATATTCTGGTGTACACTACAGACTGGAACGACACTTTGAGAGATTTAAGCTCTTCTCATGACCAAGTTAGAAAGGCAGCTGGAAAGAAAGTGCTCTCCTTTGTGGATCGTGTCATCTCAACAGAATTGGTACCCAATGCACCATGGCAAGAGGTCTATTGCCCCACATGCAACAAAGGCTTGCTGACATATGTGGATGAACAGAAATTGAGAAACCTGAGACACAAGGTCGGTTGCCAGGTGGAAAAGGGAATTATTGCATCTTACCCCCTTTGCAAAGCTTGTTTCCAAGGGGATGAACTTGCTATGAAGCGGGTGTTACCAAAAGAACTGTGGAATGTGCCAGAACCAGAAAGGAAAGCACAGGTGGCTTTAGATGTTCTCAGGAACACAACTCCAACTGCAGAAGCAATTCCATCGGAACAAGCTATTGCCCATGCGTTTCTTCTGAAGAGACCATTGCTATCAACAACTACAAGTACAACCATCACCTAAGCAAACACACAAAGACTTGTTTCAAGAAGGGTGATGAAGGCCGGTGCAATCTTCTGATATTCCGGAACCAGTCTCCAATGTTATTTACAGTGAACTGGAGTATGACACATTCAACTGGAGGGGTGCAAAAGAAAGTCAGCATAATATCACCATCAGGCCAAGACGCCTCATGCAAGATGCTTCTACCAACTCCTACTGCATCCCAATTTCTACTTGTAAGTGTCCAGCAAACTCAAATGTGCAAGTCACCACTGGAGCGAGACCTGCAATTTACTGCAGTTGCTATGCAGCAAAGGGCACCCAAAAAGAAGACACTGCAGAACTAAAGAAAGTGAGTTCCTATGTGGCTCATCGATTTCTAGAAGAGCACAAAGAGAACCTCTCTTTGAGGGGTTGTCGCGCTTAATGGGCACGGTTATTGTTGGTACAAGTGAACATTTGTGAGTGCCCCAATGGCTGCCTACCTGGTTCGCAACCATTCAAGGTTCAAGTGGTCACATGACTTCAAGTACATCCCTATTCGTGAAATTGTGGACCTTATATGTCAGAGAACATCTGTCCAAACCATGAATATGTCAGTGTTGAATCACGAGAGTGGCTGTTTTTTAACCAGTGAAGCCCTAATATTTGCAGCGACCAAGAAAAAGTTTGAGGATTATTGTCTGGTGGATTTCTTTGAAGGAGTATGAGATCATTCGAAGTGATACGCCCAGTGACACTGATGAAGCTGATGGAACCTTCACAATTGATGATGAAGCACATCCTGGTTACAAGAAGCAAATCATACGGAAGAGGAAAAAGCCTGTCCTGCTCAGTTTTCCCATTGGGCCTTTCCTGATGCAGCTTCGTTTGGAGGTGACTTTTTGGAAATGAACCAGTATCCTGTGCAGACCTGTATCGAGAACTACTGTCGCACTATACTGGTGCTGTACCACCCATTCAGAACTCTTGAGGACATTACCATCGATGGTTCTTTTCATAAGAAGTTCAAAAGGCTTTATCACTGTGGAGTCCCAGATCACATAAGGGAGCTCCTGTGCAATATCCAGATGTTCTACAATAGTGTACGTATGCCAGCAAAAGAAGATCCATTGAGATACTGTACTGAGTCTTTCCAAGGACCTAAGTCAAACCGCCAAGATTCACAGGAAGAGGAAGAAGATGATGATGACAATTTTTTCGACGGTGTCTTCAATCTGTTATCATCTGAGCACAAACAGCTTACAGGAGCTATATCAACCAATGCACCAGCAAAATTGTCACTGAACAACTTGCGAAAGGCTGGAGCCAGGGGATGTGGATTTAACAACCTACCTTCTATTGCTGAGTGTACTCCTTCATTAAGTGATTCAGCAGAAGAACAAGAAAGAACAAATCTCTACAGAAGAAGAAGCGAGATTCCCACCCAATTCATTTCAGCGGGGGCATCACCACAAGGTAATTCTACTACAACAGCTGCTGCTGGTTCCAATGATATGACAGTACGGGACAAGCCAACTCCCTTCCAGCTCATGGAGCTTACCTACCGTAATACCAGACGAAGGCTGCAACTAGCTGAACAAACAGCAGAAGAAGCAAGATCGCTTGAGAGCTATGTGGAAGCCGATGGTACATGTTTGTCCATTATTGAATGGTCGCACCGACCTGATCTGAACTTAGACAAAGAACAGCAGCTTGCTTTTCAGATTGTTACAGCAGCATTTATGCTCACATACTATCAAGATGCAGAAAGTCTTGATCCATCTGTGTACAGAACTTGCTCTGACAATCCAAGCCAAATCAGACGTGACTTCAGAAATGAAAAGGGCAAACTCCAAAGAATGTCTAGACTACGTCACAACCAGTTGATTATGTATCTTGATGGTGCAGGTGGGGCAGGGAAAAGTCGTGTTGTTCAAGAGCTCTTAAAATATGCCCAAGAGTTCACCGCACGATTGGGTTTACAATTTGACATGCGCACTATTGTTGTCAGTGCCATGTCAGGGGTTGCAGCTGTTTCAATAGGAGGGGAAACAACTCATTCCGTGGCAGCATTCTTCAGAAACATTGACGAGAAAGATACCACTTGGGCCAATGCTCGATTGCTGATCATTGACGAAGTCTCTTTTATGTCCACAGCAGAGGTGGATCTGTTGGACGAAAAGCTGAGATGTCTCATGAGAAAGTACAATGCTCTTTTTGGTGAGATTCATATTCTCTTCTGTGGAGACTTCAGGTAAGCTCAACAAAGAATTCAAATCAACTACCAGGTACAGCTCTTATTAAAATGATCACCTCACTAATTGATTCGCAGACAACTTGAGCCAGTCAAAGGCAGTCCTTTATATTCCCCTTTCCACAGTGACAAAAAATGGATTAACTCCATTAACTGTTACGTTGAGCTTTTTGGATTACACAGATTTAGAGAAGATCCAGAATGGGGGTGCATTTTGTCCAGGTTGCGAAATGATACATATACACAGCATGATATCGATGCTGTCAACCAATGCTGTATCAAAGTCAAACCGAGAGCAATTCCTGGAAATGCATCATATTGTGTGTATGGCAATGCTGATCGAACCGCCATCAATGATGCCGGTGTCTTCTCTAATGTCTTGAAAGCACATTGGCAAACATGTCAAAGTCTCCCGAACCATATTGTTGCAATTACAGCTGGAAACATGGTCCGTGTTAACAAGGCAAAAAAAAAGATACCGATGGAAGAAACTGACAAGCATTACATCTTTGAGCACTGCGGAGATCATCGTATCAGAGCCAAAATACGGGGTCGTAGAGGGGGGCACTTTATTGACCCAATGTTGAAGCTCTACTATCATATTCCTTTGATGCTGGTTTCAAATGATGATGTGCCTAATGGGCATGCTAACGGGACCCGGGTTCTGTTGGAAGCTGTAGTCACAAAACCCAATGTCACAGCCTCGACAATCATTATTGATGGATATGAATGCCCAGCTCTGGATGCATCCAATGTTGATTATCTTGTTTGCAGTTCTGAAGAGGATCCACAGAAAATTTTCAAGATCCATCCAAAAACTCTGCAATGCTCTATCCAGGCTCCCATTCCGAAGGCAATTGCTGGCCATGTACAAGCTACAATCAATTTGACTGCCAGTCTGCTCCAATTTCCTATCATCACCAACAGAGCAACAACTGGCCACAAGCTACAGGGCCAAAACAAACACAACCTAGTTGTTGCAGTGTGGTCGAAAAGAAAAAACTGGAACTACGTTGCCTTATCTAGAGTTCGCACTAGACAAGGCCTCTATTTGCTGCAAAAACTACAGCACGATGCTGATTTTTCAATGTCACACGACTTGAGAGAAATGCGAAGGAGACTGTCAAGGCTGACTCCTGCTGTTTTGGAGTGGGATTTAGAAGAAGAAAGGAGAATGCGTGACATAAGAAGGAGGCATGCTTCCAATAGAGCTGCTGCAACATAGCATAAATGATTAAACCGTATCCACCACACGAGACATTTTACATAGTTTTCATCTCAGATACATAATCCCAGGTAGAAATATTACGTGCATAAGTCAACATGCCATTTCCAAGCTGTCTAAAAGCTACCGGATAAGAATCATTAAAAAATGTCTTGGTACAGTATTTTCCTGTGTGAAGTGCTGCCAAATTTTGGAACGACACACCCCCTTGGAAACCCCCATGGATTAAGTCGTGAGGAAACCTCACGGATTGGAAAGCATCAGAGCTGTTTTGGCAAGTCTTCACTCGTCTTCGACGAAAGACTGGCCTCAAGAATGGCAAGAAGCAAGAAGCTTGTGCTGGTGGCATCTACAGAGCTTGCACTCGGCAAAGCTCGAGGGCAAGATACCTGTAGAACAAACAGCATATCATTCCATTGCATGTCGACAAGGACAAGGCAACCAACCTCCCAGTACTCTCCAAGTTGAATGTCCAGCGAGAAGGAATTGAGATCAAGTCCACGGCTAAAGGAGGCACCTAAGCTACCTCAAAGTGCAACACAGCAAGATGAACATAAATCTGTCAGGTGCTTCGTCGTCGCAATCCCAGAAGCAGGGCAAGGGCAAGAGTGTGGGATTTGGGTTGAACAAACGGAAAAAGAACGTGTTTGACGAGGAAGATGATGATGGTGATAGCGACAACAATGACGACAACAAGACGGGAGGATCCAGAAGAGACACTGTCAACCGGGAAATTGCAGCGGAACAGGCGGCCCTTCGGAAACGTGCTATCAAGGCCATGTCACAGCAACAAGGTGATGATGTATACGATTATGATGGAGCTTATGAATCGTTTCAACCCAAAAAAGAGGACAAGCCAAGTGAATCCACGGATGAAGCCAAAAAGAGCCGGTATGTGGAAGATATGCTAAAATCATCCAAGAGACGTGCCACGGAACGGGATGTGGCCTATGAAAGAAAAGTGGCCCGTGAACAGGAACAAGAATCCAATCAAGAAGATTTTCAGGGCAAAGAGAAGTTTGTGACAAAAGGTAAGCGTGTGCAAAAGAAGGATGAATTGGCTTCTAGCCAGGTACTTGGGATCTGCTGTTGCATGTATTGAAAGGCTCCTCTTGGGTGGGCCTTGAGGAATCACTCTTGGCAGCACAGCGGATCAATGACCTGCTACTGGAAGGACTTGGAACTGCAGTATCTCTCTGTGTTGATATCCTCCCTCTGCCTCTCTAACGCATTCCCTCTTTCTCTTGATCCAATTGCTTCAGCTTACAAACGCAAGCTAGAGGAACGCAAGCAGCTAGCAGAGGAGAATGCAAAGCAACTGGAGCGAGATGAAGAAGATGACGTAACCAAGAAACGGGGTGGAGCTGCAATGGCTAGCTTTTATGGCAATTTGAATCGCAATGTAGCCATGGGAGGGACTACTTCAGCATCAGCTGACGAGCCTGACACAAACAAGGAGCACGACAAAGACGAGGCCGATCATAGAAAGCACGACGGAGAACCTACTAGTCTACAAGCTAGTTCTGGAGGTGTACGACGGAGTGGTTTATCTGCAACGGCGCCACGTGCTCCTCGGGAAGGCCATGAAAATCAGAATCCTTTGAGGACAGGGGATCACTCGAATAACGAAGTCTCCTCATCACATCCATATGCACTGAAGGCAGAGAAGGAACCAGAGAAAGAACTGAGCCCAGAAGAAGTGAGAAAGCGTCGGGAAGAAAAGGTGGCTTCTGCTAGGGGCCGCTATTTCAAAAGAATTGGCAAAGGAGTTACCGCGTAACAATTGTTGGACACATGTTGACTGTTAAAAGCTTCAAGCATGGACCAAGTCAAGCCTTGATTTTTTGTTGTGCGCCCTGGGTTGTTTGTTTTCTGCTTTAATTCATATTATGAAGCAAATTATGGCTACAATCGCTATAGCGCTCTTTCTATTTTCGTTTGATTCCTTTGTCACCTTCCCGATCAACTTGTCAAGCATCATCCTAAGGCAAGGATCAAACCTAATACTATGCAACACCAATAATTGATCATATAAATGATCGCCAAGAAACAAAAACGCGCCCCAAAAGGCAGCCCATGCAAACAAGAACCACAGACTCTTTTCAATATCAGTCTCGTGGAATGCAAATTGTCGTCGTCAACTCTTCTTACTTCCTCCAAGTTTAAATTTCCATTTGCTCTTTGTTTGCTTTGTTTCTTGGTCATTATTGGTGTCTGTCTCTAGTCAAAAGGTGGAACCTTCGGCCGGTTGCCGAAGTCGTCGATTCTGATCCGAGCACATCTCGGCACGGATAGATTGCAGCACCTGTTCAATCCCCATGTTGCGACTCCAGTTGCGCATGGCAGGAATCTTCTTTTCATTGACGACGCCCGTCTTGGAGTCCACAGCCGTCATGTTGATTTTGGAAATGAAACGAACTTCTGGCGGGACGGCCGGGTATTTCTCGGGACAGTGAATTCGCAGTTGGTAGAAGCGACTGTCATGGTAGGTCTGTTGGGAAGGAAACGAAGCGAAACAACAAAGCAGTGAGAGAGAGGACTAAGTTGAGTTTGACCCATAATGTGCGAAAGATGCTGCATGTTTGATGTGATGGAAGTAAACTCTTCGAATAGGGAAATTGATGCATTCGAATAGGGAATCAAGGCCTCGACTATGAAAACTCACCCCAGGAGGACCCAGAATACCGCCGTTCCACTCTGTCAAGAAAGTGTCGCCAGTATCCACCAAACCAAATGAGATTGCCATATCGCCATGGCCTTTCTCACTCTTCTCAAGCTCCTCGAGCAACTTGAAGTTACGAGGAACAATAACAACCTCTCCTGACGGTGTCTTCTTCATGGTCGTTGTTGTTCGCTCGTTCTGCTGTCGAGTTGTGTCGTTGTCGTGCAAGCATGCCTTAGCTTTGATGACCTGGATCAGATAGAGTTAGAGCTATCGGTAGAAAAACTTCCACGGCGAACCTAAAAACCGTGGCATGCCTATTATTTTTCCCCTTGTTGGCAAGAAAGGCCTAGCTAGCTAGGTACATGTACATAAGGTTGATGGCAAGAGCTTAACAGCTACGTGTAGCACATATCTATGTCACGTAAGCTAGCTCAAACCAACTACTACAGGAAGTTGCTGCAGGTTCCGCCTCGTGATTGTGAGAGCTATTGTGAGTCAAGCTTGGTTCGATCGGTAGCCGCATCAGTCTTCTTTGCCTTCTTTTTCGACTCTTTCCCGTCGCCGAACTTGCAAACACGAGCATTGCCGTGAAGGTCCAGGATATTTAACCAATCCTCCTGAACAAGCACAATCAACAGTGCAGCCAATCCCAAGCCAAGCAAGTGTGAGAAAAGCTTGACCAAATCAAACTCCAGGCAAGTATACCATCACGTACCTGTCTCGCGTCAAGGCGGTCATTTAAACTCTTCACTTCGCAAAACATGCATTCGACGTTGACATCAGCGCCACTGTGTACCAACAGGAGTCTGGCCGGGAGTGTAGGGAGGTTAGTATTGGTCCCGTTGGCTGCTGAATCTCTTCTGTTTGGTTGTCCAGACCTGGGCCGAATGTTGGATCTCCCCCGGGAGTTTGCCGAGGAATCTCCCACTTTGTTGCAACCAAGAAAGTCATCATCCCTGTCACCCAGAAGGCTGGAAAGTTGATCCGCCTCCAGCTCGGCCAGATATTGAGCATCAAAAGCTTCACCAACCCATTCTCCTAGGTCAACCAGAGTGGCTTTGGATTCTGGCTGTTGCTGTGTGGCTCGGACGAGGAGCAAATCCGGCAAGCCGCCGCTGTAATGTCGATAGTCAAAGAAGAAGCAGCGAAACATTGATGATAGCATTTTCCCGCCAAAGCCTGCTGCCACCATCGACAACGTCCGGCATTGAAGTACATCCTTTTCAATGGACGGGTCTTTTCGAAACCTTGCAGACATGTAGCGATGACGTGCCGAGATGGAATGCCAGACGAGATCACTGACTTCTTGCCGTGACATTGCCTCCAAAGCTTTCAGAAAGCCATCGATCTTTTCCCGCCTGCGAAGGTAGAAACCACGATTGACACTAAAAGCACTCTCGACCCCGTGGAAAGGATCGTCCGCAAGCTCATAGCCAACATGTAGATCAAAGGGGGCCCCTTGGTATGGCGAGAGATGAATGGTGCTCAACTCCGACGCCGAACTGTCGCCCTCAATTGCATGTCGACATGCCCAGTCCATCTCGAGAACATGGTGTGAAAGGACACGAAAAAGTGCGCGAACCATCCCCCCTTCGTCGTGCCAGCCCTTCCATCCCCCCTTCACCTCTCCATCACTCTGCGCTTTTGGCAAACGCCCGCTTGCGTAAAACTCCATTGCTAATTGTTCAACATTGAGTGAAGAAGGAGTGCTGCGTTTTTCGTCGTCTTCGTGGCCAACAAAGCTGCAACGCCGACCGACCATGCTTTCCTCGATGGCTACTGAATTGGCCACAGCGTGGTCTGTTTGCGGAACCCAATCGCTGTACTTTTTTGCGTTTTCAACGAACCGCCCTAACTTGGGGCACCCCAGGCGAAGGCCCAACTCTTGAGCCTCCTGACTGGGTTCCAGCGATTCAATCGTCTTTAATAGCGGTTGCCTGATGCGCCTTGCAAGCGTTCGAACTGAGGCGAAAGAAATGGAAGCGGTCGCCAAGACGCCGAGGAGTGCTTCTCGGCTGAAACTGGCAACAGTGTCCGCCACAGGATTCCCGCTCGAACCTTTCTTTTTCTTCCCCTTCTTCTTTCCCGCTTCGGCGGCTATGGCTTCCATCTACTACCAAGCGGTCCATCGCTTTCCCGCGAGCTCGTCTCGAAAGCAGAAACCGAGCAAAAGCTTCCTTCAACCGTTCCCCTTTGGTGCTTGCCATAACTTTCAGCTGCCCCAGCACTCCCCCCTGGGCTAGCGCTGGACATTCTGGAACGCATCTGCCGGAACGAAGCAACTCGAGGGATTGAAAAGCAAATGCATAAAAGCCTCGGCGTTCCAAAATCGGTATACAATCCCAAAGTACATATGACAGGCACGCTTCATAGCTCATGTGGCGCAACCAAGGCCTCGAGACGGTAGCTCGCAAATGAGAAAGAGGGATACTGCCAATTCTCCACTTGAGAATGTGCTTGATAAGCGCAGCCATGATGCACAACACTTCCTCGCATTCTGTCTTCATTGGATGAGAAGTGGCACCTGGAGCTACCTCGAAAAGGTTTTGAACGTCTCCTTCAAGCTCTTGTTCGACCTTCGCAATTTCAGGGTATGATGTGGATTGCATCAGCTGACGAGAATCGGAATCCATAAACGCCGTCACCAGTGCTTTCCTTCCATCTACAGACAGTAAATTGAGGAAATCCAATGTTGACCCTGTCGCAGGGATCTTTCCATCACGATCCTGATCCTCATCAGATGACTTGTCTTGGTCCATTATTCCGTTTGCCACCTCTTCTCTAGCACGCTTCCTTTCGTTGTACAGCAAAAGTTCGTTGACCTCGATAAGGTAATCAGCATGAGCTCTCAGTTCCACGCAGACTTCCCAGCTTGCAAACGCTTGTCTAGACACAAACACTTGTTCTGGTGCCAACTCCGATTGATCATTCTTGCCGAGTTGAACTTCGCCTTGGGGCAATGGCCGGTAAGCCTCTACAAAACTACACGATGTCAAACCAAACCGGTGCTGAAGTCCCGGATACCTCACATTGTGCCACGAATGACTCCCTGGAGGTTCCACATTCATTGCGTATTTCGCATCTTTCAGTTTGGTGTTTGCCTTTACACGCGTGAGGTCCACTTCCAAAATGCTCTTCCAGCCATTGGTGCCACCATCACTACGCATTTGCCCAGGCCCACCTCCAGCACACATATAGAGCCTTGAACATCGTTGAAGCGAACGAAGAGGGGCCTCTCGTAATCGAACGCACATTCCGAACTTCCCAAACAAAGCATTCATCTGAGGTTCGTTGAGAAAAGGGTTTGTCGGGCAGTCGGCGAGAAATCCTGCAATCGTCTTTTTGACACGGGTCCTGTGGTCTTTCCGAGAGGAGCCGCACGCCTGAGCAACGCGAGCCGCAAGCTTTTCCACCAGGAGATGATTCACGTGTCGCAACACTGGCAGAAGCGAGCCTTTTTCTGCTGAGTTCGATGGTCTAAAGTGTGCGGAAAGGGACTTCTGAAGGCGCATTTGTCTCCAGATTTCGTTCTCTCTTGAAGCTGACGAGGAGGTCTTGCCACCTCGGTCCGTCGTGGCATTGGGAAGTCCTTTCTTTGTCGCCTTCTTCTTGCCGCCGCCGAGTTTTCCGAGGAGGGCGCTCCTCTCTTCGGTCGTCAATGGCCCGCATGATGTCCCAACGGTTTGTCCGCATTCCTTCTCGGACAGAAACTGGCGAATCAAGCCCATCTCTTTGAGCCTCGTTACATCTCCCAAGCACACGTTCAAAGCCTCACAGTGCTTCTGAAAGAGCCCTTCATCAAAGACTGTACTGCGACGCTGCCCAGCGACGCCTTGGTCGCCCCCCGGTTGTTTTGGCGCATAATACCGCGAGTAGAGGTCGTCCACACGGTACCAGGGCCCCTTTCGATAATAGAGACGACAGTAAAGGTGTATGCACCTGTGTTCCGCTTCGTCGATATCATCGTCACGAGCATTGTTGCTCGATTTCTCAATGGTGGTAGTGTCCATCTCGCTCTCTTTCATTTCGCCATCTTCCGGCGGATCAGTTGCACCCTCCGAAGAAGAAAATCGCTATTCTCTGGATGACTTGGAAGCGGAGCGGGGGAAGCGGCTGTGGCAGCTGGTTTCTGAGCGTCTGGCGAGTCGGATGGAGTTGACGAATTGAAGAGGCTAGCAGCACTATTCACCTGCTCATTATTTGACACCAAGGTAATCCCTGGCACACAGGCTTTTGTGTTTCCCGTGAATAGACTGGGCGAAAGCGACGGGCCAGTGGAATGACGGCACTCAAGTCATCGCCGTATTCCCAGGCAAACAGTGGCTTGCTGCTCATTCCCACTCGCCATGCCTGTCTTCCAAGATGGTGTGGCATATCTCAGCGAGATTTTGCACATAGGCTGATGTGAGGAATGAATATTGTTGATTCTGTTCCCTGTTGGCAGTAGAAGTAGATTGCATTGAACCGATATCCAGGCCGTCAGGCCCCGGAGTTGGTCTGGCTGGCATCTTTCTGTCTTCATCTGTGGCACACAGCTGCACTGGTGTCTCCTCTGATTCACTGAGTCTATCTTCCTCTTCAAAAGGGCTCTTCGATGCTGACTTGGGGCTTTGCAACATGGGAGTGTCATTGTTAGCATTCATTGGAACAGTGCTGTGTGGATTGTGAAGTTGATCATCTCTTTTATCTTCATTTCCTTGAGTGGTGATATCTGGACTTTGTCGCTTCATTGCAGCATCCGATAACGACATTGGTGGTCCTGC